TGACAATGAGATGAATAATTCCAATGTACAAGTAGATGGTGTTTGAAGCTTTGGTTGTCCATGAGCAATAATAAAAGTACCTTGCAAAAAAAGATATCAAAGACAATTTGGGATAGATGTATCTTCATAAATTTGAAGGTACTCACTTGATGTTCATGGCATGTCGAAAATAAGATTTCTTGAAATCTCATGCACGATAGGGTCTTATAATACATCTGATGCATAGTAGTAGATAGTGCAAAGTACAAATTATTCACTGATATGTTCTTTATTTGTCTTATAATTAGTATTTTTTCCGTTCCAAATTGAGCTGCAATATAGTTTTTTTTTTTTGCGAAATTGAGTTCCAAATAGTATTTTATTCACTTTATTAGGATAAACAATTAATTAAACTTTAATTTAGATTTTGCAACTTTATACATATTTTTAATGTAGTTTTAGAATATGTAAATTTTAATTATTAAAATTGAATGAATTATTGATAGAGAAAATTTAACTTTAACATTGCAAGTTGATAAAAAAATTGATTTTGCAAAACAGTTTGAGACAGAGGTAGTATTACAATGATAATACTATGTAGTAAAATACCTTTACATATAATAATATGGAATTAATTAGTAAATATATTTTACAAATTAAGAATATATCTTAAAAATCTAAATTTTAAATGACCAGTCTCACGAATAAACATCATATCTCAAAAAACACATAGATGTGAATTGTAGCATATCAAACATGTAATGAATCAAAAATAACTATTAAAATTATACTCATATATATTTTGAGTGACCTACTAAGAAATGTAGCATATAGTTTTAGTTACCCCATTGATTTCAAGGTGGCACTATCCGGGGCTATGAAACATACACACACTTCATCCGTCTCACAAAACTTGATCAAATTCATTTTTTAGTTGTCCCAAAAAGGTTTATCATTTTCATGTAAAATACTACCTCCATAATAGTTATATCTTCCTATTTTAAAGTAGGTGAGATTAAAAATAGTGAAAGAAGATATAAATTATTGAGGGTACAATGAGAAGATAATGAAATAGTGTGCTGGAATGAAGGATGGATAAAAAACTAGTTGTAATAGTGCATTATTTTTAAAATTATTAAGAGTATGATGGAAGGATTGAGAAATGGGAAGATATGAATGACGATAAAAGAGAAAGTGGGAAGATATGAATATTGTGGAGGGAGTAATATATTTGTATTTGAAGTAGTCTTTCGATCTTTTGTATAAATCTCAATCATACAATATTTATTCGATATACACGTCAATCAAATTTGGTCAAGTTCAGTGGAATGGAGTGGGTATTACTGTCCCGTGCATCGCACAGGTATATACTAGTAGTTGAGGAAATAACGAAACCACAGAAACTTTGAGCCTGACATACCAAAATACGGGAGATCAATTTAGAGTATGAAAAAAACGGGATTCAGAACACCTTATTCCGAGCGGATTTTGGTGTGCACGAAAATAAAATACTCCGTAAAAAAGATGCTATTCGGAATAGCCCTTTCCGATGGAGTAAACTAAATAAGATAGCTCTCAATAGACTTTCCGATTGAATCAATAAATAAAGAAACAATTACATATTTATAATTAAAATAAAAATTATTTATAAAAATGTGACTAATGACTAGAGTTGTAATAAAATCATAGTAACCTAAATTTAATTTTAAACTTAAGGTACCATAATACTACATTGTAGTAACTATTAGTCTGTGACAGACAAAATTTCTGTGAAGGACAGACATGTGTACACATTGTGTGTACCTCTAGCAAAACTCGTGCCAATTTGTGCAATTGATCCAGTATTGGGGATACTAGACCGAGTATGAGAGGAAATTTCCAAGAAATTGTGAAAAATAGGCATACTCGACCGAGTATTGCCAATACTCGACCAAGTATGACAAGATTTATATCAAATATTCAGCCACGTTTTTTTGTTCGCAGATTTGATTTTGACCAGCGTATCTGACCAGTACTCGACCGAGCATTGAACAAATATCAAAATCTTCATTTGATCTTCTCCCTTTTGCACATTCTTTGGTCTTTAGGATCCATCCTTTGATCTTGGGATGATTTTGACCTGTCCTAAGCTCAGAATAATCATAATCTAAATAAATTACAAATAATTAATGAAAATAAAATATTACACCAAAAGTGTGTAATTTTCACAACTAGAACTAATAAAACTAATTAAAAATACAAACATACATAATAAGAAATTCACCTATCATTGGTTTTTGCTGGAAACCTGGAGAGATGTTTGACCAATGACGGTTCTCTAGGAAATGTGTCACGAACCAAATGACATGGGCAATCAATTAGTTAAAAGCTACATACTTCTTGTGTGCGGTGGTGTAGAGATGTGGTGGGAACTTAGCAAATTGTTCTAATGGCTCGAAATTTACTTCTTTCAAGATTTGGGGTGAATCATTGAGAGCCCAGAATCAGTCCACAACACAAAAATCAATAATGACCCAAAGTTCCACAAGAACAAAAGTAACTTAGGAGTGTTTGTAACTGCTTCCTTAAATAAACACTTTTGGAGTGATTTAGAAAAAGTAATTAGTAGTAAAAGTTGATAGTGTTTGAGAAAAAAATTAATTTTGAAAAGTAAAAGTTGGTAGTGTTTGGTAAAATAAGTTTTTCCTTTTGTGTAATAGAAAAGGGAAAATCACTTTTCACATGAAAGCTGAGAAAAGTAAAAATTTGTAGTGTTCGGTAAATAATTATTTTTTTAAACCAAAACCTGAGAAGTGTTTTTTTAAGATGTTGCAAACCATCCCTTAGCATCTTCTTTTTTTTGGCAGAAGAAAATTTAACTCTCATTAATAGAATCAATGTTCAAAACATAAGTGAGAAAAACATAAGGAAACTCATTCCAAAAAATACAACCAGACATAGAACAAGATGCCTGAGCCAAGACATGAGCCGCCCTGTTCGCTGATCGTCTAACCTGAGAGAAAGAAATCTCCGTGAAGCAATAACATAATCCTCTAATATCGCCCGCTATAATCCCGACCAAAGAGATGCTTGAACCACCCTGAATCTCCGATATTGCCTTGGATGCATCCGATTCAACCTCAATAAAATCCCACCCATTTTCTTTTACCCAACTGAGGGCTTCCCGAATACCAACTAACTCCGCTTCCCACGGTGATAGCCGTCCAAACCACAGCTTGGATGCCCCTTCAATAAAGACCCCCGCTTTGTTCCGGAGCAGCCAGCCCAGCCCGATACCATCTTCTTTAACCGCCGCATCGACATTTAACTTCAGCCTACCCGGTAAAGACCTTTTTAAGGAATTTGCAGCTGCTGCAACTTTGATGTACTGCTCCCGACCCTGCTGTTGTGCCAAGCCCCAGCCATCAACGAAAAATTGAGCCTTTAACATCACCATCTTTGCATCCGAAACCACCCCATTCCACACTTTACTATTCCTTTCACATCATAAGCTCCAGGCTCCAGCATCCCCAAACCAGTTTGCAGAGATCCCCCTCCCTCTTAGTCTGGAACTCGAGTTGCAGTTGATCCAAAAAACAAGTCGCCCCTACCGATGCCCAGTTCCACCGAACTGCTCGCCATGCCTCTCTAGCTAATGAACAAGTCATGAACAAATGAAGCAACGACTCGTCAACCTCACCACACAACCCACACTTCTCGGCACAATTCACTCTCCTCAACCTCAAGTTTACTGTTGTAGGAAGAAAACCAGAGCATAATTGCCCAAAAAAAGATTTTAATTTTGGGGGGGAGTTTCCACCTCCACATCACCGTCCAGCCCGTCCAACTACCCGCCGCTGCTTCCCCGACCAAGAATCTGTAACAACTACGAACAGTAAAGCGCCCGGAGGCCTCCCATTTCAGACAAACTTTATCTAGGAGTTGTCTAAAGCTAATCGGAATACCACGGATTAATTTGACATCCCTTGAACAAAAAGATCATGAAGCAACCCTTAGCATCTTCTTGTACCTAAAATTTGTTTAAAACAAATCTCAAGGATTATATGACATGCGACAGCTTAGAAAAAGGGAATATTCGATCATTTGATAGATGGGTTACTAGAGAGCATATTTTTTTGCGGGATACTAGAGAGCATATTTGATGAGTAATACAAAGCATATTAACTACTACCTCGTCCCCCTAAGTTTGGGACAAGAGAAGGTGACACAGTTATTAATAAAAGTGAGTTTATGTGGTTGATGTTGACTTGATAAAGTAAGAATAAAGTAAGAAAGATTTAGAATCACACAAATTTTACCAAATAAGGTATGAGACAATCTTAGTGGACAGACCGAAAAGATAAAATGAGACAATCAAGGATGAAACAGAAGAGAAAGAAAGTAAAAGGTTCATCACAACTTTATTAATAAATGATGACTAAATGAGTACTCCCTCAGACATTTGATTACGAGTATGGGTTAATTTAAAGGTTTCATGGACTGAAATAATAGGAGAGATAGCGGGCTTTTCATGATAAAAAGAATATTTAGAAAAGAGAAATGATGAATTAAGGAAGTGGTTGGGGAAGAAGAAATTTTAAATGAGGATAAAAATTAAAGGTATTCGTGTATTTTAGGTGAAAGGTTTATCAAAATGAGAGTAAAATATCCGATTACATGTCATACTACGTACGTAGTACTATGTATATTGGTTCAATTTATATGTCCCGTTTTGGTTTGACACAATTACCAATAATATGATTGAAAAGTAAAAATTACTTCCTCCTTTCTTTTTTAGTTGCAACGATCAACATTTCACATTTGCCAAGACACGTCTTTGATAGGGCCGGTTTTGGAAGGGGGGCAAGGGGGCACTTGCCCAGGGCCCAGGTTTAGTATAGGGCCCATAATTTTATATGCTATATTATATATATATATATATATATATATGTTATTTTTATTTTTATAATAGTAATGAGAATACTCTCAGTTAATCAATCGCTAAGTTGGCCGACAAAGAGAAGCCGAACCACTTGCATCTCTTCGATTTTAACACAATCGGTCATCGCACAGTCGCTCCCTCGATCCTGCTTCCATTGAAACGGTAAAATGTCTTCTCGCATATATATATGTCCGGTAATACCCAAAGAATTGGCATCCAAATCATCCAAATTCAGCAATTCTCTCTTAGACTATTTCCCTGTTTCTCTTCTTTGCATGCTTGCCGCCTGACCCGCCTGTGAGACTTGCAGAATCCGGCCCTGGAGACTTGAGTCTTTAACTTTTGACTGATTCTTCTGTAGTTCTGTTTTCATCGATCTCATCCGGATTCTTTGGAGTTTGGAGACCGAAGGGGGCTTTAACAATAACAGATCGGTTATTGGGTATTTGGGGATTTCTGTAGGTGATTTACTTTAATCCTTAACTTTACTCTTGATTGCAAATTTGCAATTTGTCCAGATTCTAAGCTAATGTTTGATGTTTGTAAATATTTAACAAGAACTTTTATCTTGTATTACAGGTTGTTAACTTGTTGTGTTGTGGATTACAAATAACAACGTCCTGGGTTGCTCGCTGCCTAGCTTCAAACTGAGGTCTAAGTTGAGGTTTTTTCTCCAGTTTCATTATTTTAGTATCAGCAAGTTGTGTTTCATTGATTGTTTATAGCTGATAACTTTAATCTTCATCTAAAATGTTTCCTAAAAAACATTTATCTGGAAGTGAAAAAAGGAAAAAAAGAAAACAAGTTGATGAACTAATAAATTCTCAAAAAGGAGCTTTGGATAGGTTTGTTAAAATAGGACGTTCCTCTAATGAGAGTACAGGTCAATTGGCTGGGCATAATTTTGAAACGGTTAATGAGCCTAATGAAAGTGATGAGGGAAATAAGGGAATTGAGAATACACAAAACATTTCAAACCATAACCCAAATGAGGATATTAGTGATGTTCAAAACTCAAGTGACCAAAATCAAAACATTGGAAATATTATAGAAGATGAACAACCAATTCCATTTTTAGATATTTATGATCCAGCTAATTGGGACAATATTGACAATAAAGTAAGAGACCTTTTGGTTGAGAAAGGACCGATTAGAGAATTAAATCTTGAGTTTCCTTGTGATAAAACATCTAGGCGCTTTGCATATAGTTACTACACTAGAAAGCTAAGTAACGGTGAGAAGAGTGATAGGAAATGGCTGATTTATTCGAAAAAATTAGATAAAGTATATTGTTTTTGTTTCAAGTTGTTTAGAGTTAAGTCTAATCAAAGCAAAAATGCGTTAGCTATTGATGGGTATAATGATTGGAAGCATCTAGGTGTGAGGCTAAAAGATCATGAAAACAGTCTTGATCATATGACTAATATGAAATCTTGGAGTGAATTAAGGGTTAGATTAAGTACAAATCAAACCATTGATAAAGATTTACAACAACAAATTTTAAAAGAAAAAGAACGTTGGAGAAATGTTTTAATAAGAATAATTGCTGTTGTGAAATGTCTTGCTAAATATTGTTTGCCTTTTCGTGGATCTAATGAGAAACTTTATCAAGATGGTAATGGAAACTTTTTGGGATTAATTGAGATGATAGCTGAATTTGATGTTATAATGCAAGATCATATTAGGCGCATTCAAAGCCATGAAATTCACTACCACTATCTTGGTAAAAAAATTCAAAATGAACTGATTTCTCTCTTGGCTCACAGTGTTCAAAACTCCATCATAAAGATTATCAAAGATGCTAAATATTTTTCAGTAATTCTTGATTGTACCCCTGATATAAGTCATCAAGAGCAAATGAGTTTAGTGATACGATGTGTGAATATTTCTGGTGTTAAAATTAAAATAGAAGAATTTTTTTTAGAATTTTTGAAAGTGGACGATACATCTGGTTTGGGGCTTTTCAATGAGTTGCTAGATGCACTTAAATGTCTTGATCTTAATGTTGATGATGTGAGGGGTCAAGGTTATGATAATGGTTCAAATATGAAAGGGAAGAATCAAGGGGTTCAAAATCGGTTACTTGAAATAAATCCTAGAGCTTTATATATGCCTTGTGCTTGTCATAGTCTAAATCTTGCTCTTAGTGATATGGCTCATTCTTGTGTTAAAGCTGTTTCATTTTTTGGAATTGTTCAACGCATATATACTTTATTTTCAAGTTCAACAAAAAGGTGGAAGGTTTTACTTGATAATGTCTCAAACCTAACTGTAAAATCCTTGTGTAATACTCGTTGGGAGAGTCGGATAAAAAGTATCAAAGCTATTAGATTTCAAGCTCCCCAAATAACACAAGCATTGTTTGAATTATCTGAATCGTGTGATGATGCTAAGACCAAAAGTGAAGCAGAAAGTCTGGTAAGTGCATTTGAAAGTTTTGAGTTTATACTTGGTATGGTGATTTGGTATGATATCCTGTTTGCTATTAATATGGTGAGTAAAAAACTGCAATCTAAGTCTTCTTGCCTTACTGCTACTATGAAACAGATTCAAGGTGTAATGATTTTTTTTGAAAAATTTAGGAATGAAGGATTTCTTTCGAGTATGAATATTGCCAAAGACATTGCATGTGAAATGAATGTGGAGCCCATATTTCCGATTAGACGGCGAGTAACTAGGAAAAAACAATTTGATGAAAATGAAAATGAAATTGAGCTACTAACGGCAGAAGAATCTTTTAGAGTTAATTATTTGCTAATGGTTGTGGATATGGAAATATCTTCATTGAATAATAGATTTGAGCAGTTAAAGATATTTGACGGTATTTTTGGTTTTTTATACAACTCTGAGAAGTTGAAGTCATTGAATGCTAATGAGTTAAGAGAATGTTGTATGAATTTTGCCAAGACTTTTTCTCATGATGATTTGAATGATGTGGATTTAGATGATTTTTTTTCTGAACTTAAAGTTTTGCAAATGACTTTGCCTGATGCTTCAATGAGTGCAATGGAAATTCTTGAGTTTGTTAAAGCTGCAGATTGTTATCCAAATGTCTCTATTGCTTATCGGATTTTATTGACGGCACCGGTGACTGTTGCATCAGCGGAGAGGAGCTTTTCAAAGTTAAAATTACTGAAGACATATTTGAGATCTTCAATGTCTCAAGAAAGATTGAATGGCTTGGCGATTTTATGTATAGAGAAGGAGATGTTGGATGATATTGATCTAGACTCCGTCATAGATGATTTTGCATCCAAGAACGCTCGACGGAATTGTTTTTTGTAATTTTTTTGTATGAACTGTGAAGTATTTCATGTTTGATGTAAAACAACTTTGCTTTTATAATGGAATTTAGTTTTGTGCTTTATAATTTGAGGGCCCATTGTTTTAGTATGTCCCGGGTCCTAAAAATCTCAGGACCGGGCCTGGTCTTTGACCATAATTATATCTTAATCTCTATTATTAAAAAATAATTAAAAATCAGATTTTGAAAAATTGTAATAAGATAAATTGAACAATATTTTTAAAAAAAATAATTTCCGTAAAATAATACCGTAAAATATAGTCAAAGTAGAACATGTGAATAGTGTAAAATTCAACAAGTTGCGATTAAAAAAAAGGGAGGATAGTATAATTGAGGTTTGAGTAAAGTAAGCGAACTTGAGATCTTGAATTCAAGATACCGAGGTGAACTTATGATCTTTTTATTGATTATGGTGTCACAATACGCCGTATGACTCCCTAAGTGAGTCATATGATTCTCTTTAAATTTTTAGGTTACAGTTCTGGAACTAATTCTGAGAAGATATGTCAGCTGTACACGCTCGATTACACGTCGACTTATACACTCAAGTGATTTTAAATTTAAGTAAATGGAAGTGTCTATGTTCACTTGTACTTCTCTTTATTAAAACTATAATTAATTATTTGTGCATAAATAATTAAACTACAAGTAGCATTTTTCAATTTTGAGCCATTAGGCAAGAACTTCGTACGTAGTACTCCCTCCGTCCCAAATTATAAGGCACTTTACGGTTTACGATGTTTGACCGACGATAAAGCAAATTGATCCCTGTCAACACTCAAATTAGTTTTAGAAAATAAAATATACATATTCAGAATTACATTAAAACCGCTACAAAGCCTGCAAAAAGTAATTCAAATATCATATAATTTTGATATATAAAATAAAAGATTAAGAATAATTTGTGTTGACTAAGTGCATAGGAAAAATATCTTATAAGATGGGACTGAGGGAGTAGTATTTTATCTCCTTTCAAGCAATACTGTGGGACTTAGGGAGAGACATGGTGGTATTAAGACACACTCTCATAATGTCTTTCGAGCATTACACTTCAAAACATCATATGAATTCTCTCTTTTTATCATGTGTATATCGGAAATTCTTTTATTCTAGACTAGAGACTATTCTGACTCGATGGAAAAAGTGGAATACAACAGCTAAAACCGCACATGTGTCCCTGATTCTGTTTTTACATATTCGATGACCAAAAACACACGAAAACAAAAATCATCATAATCCTAACATGTAACAGAAATGATTGAATCAAAAACTGACATTAATTATCATCGTACAAAGTTATCATCATCTAACAGCTGCTGCCACAGAATGAGCCCAGAATTTCAGACTATCTTTGACGACCACCTCATTGCTCAGTGATGGGATTCTCCAGTACATCAATCCCTTCTTCTCCTTCTTTTCTTCCCCCATAACCTCCCAAGCTTCAGAGAGATAAGGCCGGGCTTTAGCAGACTTATTCTGATTCTTCTCAGAAGCTTCTTTCTCCTCTTCTTTCTTGCCCAGCTTCTGCAACCCAGGAATGATCTCAACCAGACTTGAATTTACATCTTCTTCTGAGAATTCAAACCCAAGGTCCATAAACCCTGTCAGCTCCTTAAATTCCAGCTCCGACAAGCTCTTGCTACCCCACCCACTCTCCCCCTTTCTCCTCCCTGTTCTTCTTGCTCTGTTTCCCCTCTTCACTTCCGGAGTTGTTCGGAAAGGAGACTCCGGCGGGAGGACTGAAACAGGGGAAAAGGAGTCGGAGTTGTACCCGGTATTTGAACGCAAAAGTTCACCTTTTGACCTGGTTTCAACTGCCAATAAGCTTGAGAATTTCTTTGATGCTGAAACGTTTTGAGGAATTTTGCTGTCTGGGGTGTTTTCAAAGCTCGAGGAAGATGGTGGGTTTGATCGTTTCTTGAGGATTTGGAGATTGAACCAGAAAGAATCGAAAGTGCTTATTACAGCCTCTGGGTCCATAACCTTGGGCTGAACAAGTCTGGGGAGTGGGGAAGGTATATATTGAAAGGTCAGAGCTTTATGATTTGTGTGGAGATTAATTAAGAGGAGGAAATGTTGGGAGTATATAATGACGAGAGAAGTTTCAACTCTTTTGATTGACAAACACGTTTGACGTTCCCCACTTCGGAAAATGGTTGCTGGTGCAAGCCCTTGCTTCATAATTGGTCTATATTGCATTACCGGTTAAGCCGCTTATAAGATTTTATATGACCGCTTAATCAAAATTGGACGGAATATCTAGGTGTGGGAAAATCGGACCGAAATTCCGAAACTGACCCCACGAATAATATTTCTGGTCTGCATTTTTTCTTTTTAACTTGTCCGAATAATAAAAATCTGGACTGAATCCGAAAATTCAGGATCACAAACGGGCTCAAAAATCTATAACCTGACCCGGACTGATAAAAACTTGAAACAATTAACTTTGATATAAAATCAATACCCCCTCCGTCCCATATTTAACTCTGGTTTTCACTGTGCACGAGTTTTAAGATAGTGGGATTTGTGTGGTGGAGAGTTGTGCAATGGAGAGAGAAATGTGTAAGAATAGTTGTGAACCACATATTCTTTACCAAAAAGGGAAGGAGGAGATAAATTTGAGACGGACTGAAATGGAAAGAATGAAGACAATTTTGAGACGGAGGGAGTATACTACGGAGTATATGAATACAAATAATTCCTAAAATATTGAATATAATCATGGCAGAAGAAAAAATGACTTAGTAACTTTTAGTGACTAAAAATATCTTCAATTTTGTATACCATAAGGATCATAAAAATATACTTATAATAACTTTAGTAACATTTTTATCCATCCATATATTTTATGTAGTACTACCTCCGTCCCATTTATATTGGGATGGAAGAAGGTGACACAGTTATTAAGAAAAGTGAGTTTGTGTGATTGATATTAATTGATAAAGTAAGAATAAAGTAAGAATGATTTAGAGCCACACAAACTTTGTCAAATATGATATGGGACAATTTAAGTGAGACTTTCCGAAAAGGTAAAACAGGACAATATAAATGGGACGAAGGGAGTACTTCGCAATATTTTTAGAACACCTATATTATTATTATTATTATTATTATTATTATTATTATTATTATTATTATGATCATCATCATCATCATCATCATCATCATCATCATCATCATCATTATTATTATTATTATTATTATTTTATATGCATCTTAAACAAGATATTAAGATGATTGTCTTCTTTGGATTTGAATTGCTAGTGATTTTAGAGACTAATGTTTGTGGCTTGAATTTTTGATTAATTATATTTGATAATATGTTTTGAAATATAAAAGGAAAATGAGATGATTTTAGGTTCGGGCTTTAACCGGCTCAACCCAAACCCGAACCGAACCCAGGCTACAAAAAACCCGACTCGGACTGAATATAATGAGCTTTGTTCCGATCCCTAATTTTCATAAACCGAGATTGTACGGGTATTCGGGTAATTTTTGGGTTTAGAAAAAACCCGACCAGACTAGACCGATCCCACCCCTAGGAATATCCCTCCAATTTGATGGGAAGAAAGGTCAAATAAATTTACTCTCTCCATCCCGTAAAGATGTTCCCGCTTTGACCCTAACACATTTTTAAGAAAAAGTAATTGTGGTGTTGACTTTCCCTAATTGTCCTCCCATCCCCACACGTGCTGGCCAAATTGCGAAAAGGAAAACAAGGAAAGGGTAATTAAAAACAATCACATAAGGGAGTAAATAACTTTAAAAATGATGTGATGGTTCTACAAAGCTTGAAAATGCTAGGCTATGTGTACAACCAAAGAAAGCCCTCCAAAAAATCGGAGGATTAATGCTACAAACTGCTACAGTTCACCAAAATTTAAAATTCCTCCAATTCTTTCTTTAAATGCCTACAACTACCTTATCTACCACCATTTACTACACCCATGGATCTCTCTTTGGCTCTCTCTCTACGAAATGAGCCTCCTGCAGTTTCCTCAAATCCAACTCCACCTTCCTTAGCAGCCTTTGCAACTGCTACTTCTGCAGTACCTGAAGCACAAAGAAATGAAGGAAGTCAAACTGGAACTGGCAGGTGGTCTAAACTAAGTAATGCAGAGAAAAGCAGTTTGGTGGAAATACTTTTAGCTCATTTTCATAACGGGAAACTTCAGAGGGGCATTGTGGGAAAAACAGTTACACAGTTCAACCGTTCTAGGCGTACAATTAACAAATTGTGGGTCCGAGCTCACAACCAACTCAATGATGGGTCCCAATTAATGTGCAAAGCCAATGTAAGGGAAATGTGAGAAGAACAGGGGTTGTTTTTTACTTGGACAAGTTAAAAGACATTCCACTTCATCAAAGAAAGAACATTCGGTCTTTGGGTTATGCCCTAAACATCTCAAAGTCTTCTGTGCACAGATTAGTCAAAGCTAAGCAAATAAAGAGACATTCCAATGCCATAAAGCCATTCCTCGTCTCACACATGCTGGTAAAATCAAGAGGTTACAATTCTACCTATCTCATGTAGTAGTGCATAGGTGTGTGCCCTTAAACTCCACATTTCATTATTTTTATGATGACATTCACATAGATGAAAAGTGATTTTTTTCAAAAGAAACCACAACATACTACACCCATCCCAGTGAGCCTAACCCCTACAGATCTGCTCAATCAAAAAAATTTATACCCAAAATCATGTTTTAGCTGTTGTAGGTAGGCCTAGGTTTGAGGACAATGGGGCAGTGTAATGGGATGGAAAATTGGTATCTTTCCATTCACATATGAGCAAAGAGCAAAGCGGGCTAGTAAAAATAGACCAGCAGGCACTTTAGAGACAAAACCCACATTAAGTATAACCAGAAATGTTATCAATGAGATGATGCTACACAAAGTCCTACCAGCAATCAAAGTTACATGGCCAGATGTAGAAAATAGAAACATCATAATTCAACAAGATAATGCAAGGCCACATATTGATGTGAATGATGCAGAGTTTGTGGAGTCAGCAACTGCTGATTGCTGGAAAATAAAGCTAACTTTCCAGCCACCTAACAGCCCAGACCTAAATGTTCTAGACATAGGTTTGTTTTCGTGCAATTGATTCACTGAAGGAACATAAATCCTCTAAAAGTATTGTTGAGTTAACTGAAGCTATGAGAACTCCTTTTGATGACCTCACAACTTATATTTTGAACAAAGTATTTTTAAGTTATCAGTGTGTGATGGAACAAACACTGATGCACAACGGTGGAAATCAGTTTAAACTGCAACATGTTGGTAAGGATAAGCTTGACAGACAGTGGATGTTACCACAGAACATGGAAATCAATCCAGCATTAGTGGATGAAGCTAAGGAGAATCTCATACACATGCAAACACAAGGGCCAGAAACACAAGAGGTGCACATGCAGGGTGAAGGGACTGAAACTCAGTTCATAACTGAAGATGAGGCCACAACTTTTTTGTATGTAAGGAAGTGTACAATTTTTTTATGACACCACTAAGGGACAACTTTTTTGTATGTAGGGAAGTGTAATTTTTTGTATGTACACTAGTAAGGGACAACTTTTTTATATGTAAGGGAAGTGTACAATTGATGTATGTACTGTCATGCATGCGTAGCCTACAATATCAAAATGTAGGGGCAGTGCAGTATCTTTTATTCAAGTTGTTATACACTTATTGGCAGTCATGTGTGCATTGAAGTCAATGGTAACAATCTAAGGATGTTTTCTTTTGGACTAAAATTTGCTGTATGGTCTGGTAAACGTCTGGTCTCTTTGTATTTTATAACTACGAAAGTCTGGTCTGGTCTGGTCTGATCTGGTTTGGTCTGGGACTGAAAACAATCCAAAAGAAAACATCCTAACTCACACATATGCACATACATTGGCTTATAATGTAGGACCATCATCAATTTAGTCACTCAGTAACCACACAACCCCCCATCATCGGTAGAAGCAGAAAGGTAAGCACATAAGGGCAAGTACTCTAAGTGCAGTGCCTCAGATTAGTGTAAGGTAAGTCCTATCATCATTAGCAAAAAGCACAAATACAAATACATAACCTCCTACACTTACTTAAAGTGGCTGGCATATGTAATGAAGGCAACTAGAAATAAGATCACCAGTACATATACTTATGGTAACCGAATGGCAATCATGTATGAATTCAAGTCAATGGTAACGATCTAACTCACACACATGCACATACATTGGCTTATAATGTAGGATCATCATCAGTTTACTCACTCAGTAACCACACAACCCCCACCATCATCAGTAGAAGCAGTAAGGTAAGCACACAAGGGCAAGTACTCTAAGTGCAGTGCCTCAGATTAGTGTAAGGTAAGCCATATCATCATTAGCAAAAAGCACAAATACAAATACATAACCTCCTACACTTACTCAAAGTGGGTGGCATATGTAGTGAAGGCAACCAGAAATAAGATGATCAATACACATAGCCTCCTACACTTAGAGAAAGTGGGTGGAAAATGTTAATAAGGCTCACACAATTACCATGACGCATACAACTAGTAAGCTAAAAAAACACAAGGAGACTCGTGTAGAAGCAGTAAAGTAAGAAAGAATCGGGTAATTTCATCATTTAAGCAACAATCAGGTGATGCAATGGCACAAGAATTCATCATTTATCAGATTAAGTAGCCAATAACCACAATTTGTGATGCCAAATGTTCAAATACAAACACAATACACATATGTAAGGAATACAGAGACTTCCCTTAAGAAGTGTCCCGAAATACATCCGCATAGGGGTCTTAGAACATTGCGTCGAAGGAGTTAAACTCCTCGCCTTCTTCATCTGATTCTGGAGACTTAGCGCTTTGGGATAATGGGATCCATACCACTTCCGCAAATTCAAACCCGGATCCGTTTCGGATGATGTAGTCCACCCACATGCACGGTCAGATTCTTCATCATCGTCGATGTATTCGACGGGAACAACTTTAGAATGGGTGACTGATTCTTTTTCGGAACTACAGAGGCTAGGGTTTGTTACAGATGGGCTATCAGAAAGGGGTAGCCGTAAAAATAGGGTGTTCATCTATGTAAGGGGTAGGGTTGGTGGAGGATTCCATGCGTAGAAACCAGAAGGAGAGGGACGGACATTCTAGAGAGAGAAGGCGAGTTGGGAAAGTAAGTGGAGAGTAAATGGGGTGTTCAGATAAAGTGGGGAAGGTGGGTGGGGAGAGTAATTGGGTTTGTTTATGTGGTGGAAGAAGGGTAAATGGGAAGGGTATATTAGGCATTTCATTTTAATATTCTTTCCATTTAAGGAAATGGTAACTTGTCTCTGGGACAGCAAAAAAAGGAAACCAGGAACATCTTTATAAGGGAAGGGACGGAGGGAGTATTTGACATATGATAGAAGTACATATATATACACTTACAAAAAGTTTTACAAGCTTGTAAGAGATGTGGCGAGCATCATATAATTTAACAAATTACATCACTTTCGCATAAAATGAATAAATGGATAGCATGGGCCATAGTATAGTGTTGTTGTAGGCCCATGTATGTTAGATTCTTTTATGTTTTACACCTAGAGTATATATCTAGCCAATCAAAAATAAGTGTTCTAAGTCTACTACTAACACTCAATGCCCATCTTGTTCAATCTCTGTCGGACCGTTATCCAACAAAACTCCATTCGTAGTTGGATAAGCTCGAAATGCTCTTCTAGGATTTTGCTCTTGTAAATTGGCTTACAAATCTCTTTTTATCACTTTTGTAAATTCGGTTATTCAGGCATTATTGTCTAGAACCAGATGACTCAGTTTTAGTTTTATAACTACTCTTGAAATTCAGTGTTTCTAGTATTGTTGTTGTTGTGTTAGTATTTGCTCAAAACTAATACTCCGTATTTATTTGTACTTGTATGAAATAAGAAGGGGCTGAAACCGAGTGTTGTGTTAATTGCTATTTCTGACTTGTTCATACTAGTTGATTCGTCGGCTAGTTTATAGTCTAATAAATACTATACATACATACTATTTTGCTTTTTTTGTGGTGTGAATGCTTTTAATGGAAAGTATGATTTTAGCATATCGAAGCAAAAGATAGTGGGCTATGCAGAGACATAACCAGAGTACTTGTTCTGAATATATGTAGAAGGCGAGAATTTAAACTTCTAGGAAATATCGAGTTACAAACAAATTGAATAATTCGAATCCTTCCTAAAAAGATCCTACAAAGCTTGTGATGGACAAAGAAAGCTTCTTCACACACATAGAAGTCACCTTCCTCATGCCCACTATTGAAGATTCCTTGAGACTTCCTAATTTAACACCTTTCTCTAAGATTCCTCCAACCTAGTTTTGATCCTATAAACAAAGAGGCTTCTCAATATTTCTATCATCTATCACAAACCATTGAAACCAGCCAAAATTGTGAGGTATTTTTTTTAGAATTTTTAGTTAGAGCTTGTAATGTATCCTCTATTTATTCTTAAAAGCAATACAAGTACTTTCTCTCATATATATTAGTTCGAAAAAGATTCTTTAGTTCCGCAACATCAAGTATATGTGATATATTTCTAACAAGATGAAAGGTTAGTTGAGATCATACAAGACTATATTTTTGGAGTAGATAAGAAATAGTATGTCAGTGGTTCATATTTATAACAAAATTAGAACCAAAACCATCACATATTTTACAAAATAAAATATAAGTAGGTATTTAATACCATTCATCACCTCAACTAGATCTAGATCCTTTAAGAATCTTAGAACGGGAAGAGTCTACGATATTGAATTCTGGAGTCGGTTGACTCGATAGTATAATATAAATAATTAATGTACAAAAAAAGTTAAATAATTTTACTTTTGTAAGTGTTGCATGCGAAAATTGAGATGTAAGTAATTGCATTAGAACATGTAAGGTTAGACTTGGTAAGGCATTTAGATATATTTTTGGACAATAGATATATTTGAAATAGTCAAAACTTAATTCATCAATACGACTAGCTATAACAATATTAAAACTTTAATTGTTTTTAGATTATTGCTTGATAAGAGCAACCTCAATTAGGGATGGACTGAGATGGGCCGGCCCGGGGCCCGACCCGGACTGCCGGGCTAGGGACCGGGATTGGGGCCCGACCCGGGGTGGGGTGGGGGGCTACGGGATAGGGAAAAGATGGACCGGGACTGGACGGGGTGGGTGGGGCTAGGTGGTTTGGGGGGTGGGGTGGGGGTAGGAATTAATTTGAAAAGCCATTTAAAAACAATATGAACTCAACCCGACCCGGGCCCATCCCAGTACACACTCGGGCCGGTACCAGGCCTGTAGCCCAAAAACCCAGTACCGCCCAAATCCCGGCCCGACTCGGGCCCAGTCCATCCCTAACCTCAATGCAAAAGAGTCAACAGTGCACGCATGATAGGAGAGATATAGACACAAAGAATTAATTAATACAAAGTCTCTCATTTTCTTTTGCACGAGATAATAAAATTTTGTAACCCTTTATTCATAATGTCAAGATCTAGGCGATGTTTTGACATTGTGAATAAAAAATAATTGAAATTTTATAACGCCGTGAAAAGTATGTAAGAGATTTTCTCTAACTAATTTGTGTGTATATATTTCTCGTGTCACGCACGCATTAGGTAATGATGTAGGTAATTATGTAGATAATGATGTAAGTTACATGATTAAATAATAAAAAACAATAAGATCTCGTATAAGGGTATCTTATCATTTTTGTTTAAACAATGGTGATCGAGAAGCTATAGATTTATAAGATATTACTCCCTCCGGTCCCACTAACAATGGGACAAGAGAGAGTTGCACACAAATCTATAAAAAGTGGTTTATGTGGTTGATATTGAATTGATAAAGTAAGAATAAAGTAAGAATAATTTAGAGCCATACAAACTTTACCAAATAAGGTATGTGACAATCTTAGTGAGATGGACCGAAATAGTAAAATGGGACAATCTTAGCGGGACAGGGGTAGTATTACTCTTGTAAGGTTTGATTTGAATCTTTCTCGTGTTGTTGTCTATATGGGCAAAAATTGATAAGTCCTGGCCTTGGAGTTTACAATTTGTTTTTCTAGACTTGGCCTGCATTTGAGATGGAATCTATATCTACATCTTTGAAGATTTTCATGTCATGCTATTGTATGAGTTCATACTCTATTTTAATTAAAGAAGAGAGGAGAGGATAGTGAGAGAATCAAAGGCATTTGTGAAATGTTAGTTTGGAAGGAAATAAATGCAAAACCTCTTATGATAGTAGAAGGGTGGCCAATAACATCAATATTTTGGTGTATTGCTTCTCTTATGATTATGATGCCTAAATCACTTACGACCTTAGCTAGATAGTATCATAACTTAATTGAAACATGATCTAACATTAATAAAGGAAATCTTGCCATTTGCAAATTCTCAAAATTATTATTCTCTCTATTAAAAAATATTCTGTCTAAATTGACACGTTCTCTAAGAAATATGATTGAAATAAAAATATGGTTTACATGTAAATTAAATTGATAGCACCACTTATCTTTGCCAAAAACACGCAAATTATTTAATTTTAACTTGCCAAGAAGGTTTTTTTTTTGGAAAAAGAAGATTTTATTGATATAAATAAAGAGTACAATGCGTGAAAGGAAAAAAAAAAGTAC